CCCCGCCCAGGGAAGCAAACCTCGAATTAAGGAGGGAGAGCAAGGCCAGCCCTCGACCTGCTCCCCAGCCCGGATCAAAAGCTGCTTCTAAGGTTAGAGAGGGCAACCGGCCCTCCCGGGCAGGCGGCTGCAGTTCAGGCCGCTCTGCTTACCCGGAGCAGCAGGGGAAGTGCTGCCTTAGTCACTGAGATTCAAAATCCCAAATAAATAGAAAACAAAGCTCGGTGATGATCAGGTGAAAACCCCCATGACAAGAGGAGTTTATTTGTAAACTGTTTCTTGTTCCTGTAAGAGTACCACACCAGCACAGTGTAATAAAGATTAAAAAGCACATAGAACAAACATGATAATTTTACATATATTCAAGCATTGCTGAACACAAGCTCTTAAAAACAACTTGAAATTGGCTTTGAGGGTGTATCTTGGCTCACTCTCTGCAACCTGCTTCACTCCCAGTGTTCCAGCTCCAGGGATCACGCAAGAAAATATCTCATCTTTTTAAACAAGTGCAGACAGAGCTTTTTTCCTCACCTGCACCACTTTGTACATCTGCCTTACAGCTTTAGGGAGGGAGTGGCTGCTTTGAAATCCAAGCGATAAAAGTAGCTAAGCCTCTTTGTCCGTACAGATTTCAGAGATAGAAATGCCAAAGTTAAAGTGTTACATTCTACACTTAAGTCACAGCCTTGTTGAGATTTGGCTATTTTTCTGTTCATTCTCTCATTCATTGCTGTTTATGGGAATATTCAGAACAGCTGAAATGTGCCATCTACTGGACACACTTCCACTTAAATAAGAAAAAAATACATAACCCAGACTCTGATTTGACTTGGCAGAATTCAGAGTACAGTTGGTCCCTGAAGTACTGGGATGCAAATCTAAAGAGTAACAGTACCAGGTCAGATCTCAGAGAATCCACACACTGCTCAAATAAGTGATCCAGCAAGCACAAACACACACACAGGACCGCTAAAACATACTCAGGTAATGTCTCTGCAAAGCAACTTAATCTAAGATCCATTTTATAACCAGAGTATTTTCAAAAACTGGAGTGGCATTTAAGCTCCTCAATCCAAGTTAGTAGTGATAAGGATAAACAGAGCAGGAAACACAGAATATTGGAGATAGTACAGTTTGGTTTTTTTTTTCCCCCTTTTAAGAGTAGAAAAAAAATAACATCTTTAAAACTTACTTGTACAATAATATTAACAAACATAACCAATAACATTTTGTAGTGCATTTGTCAGTTTACTTTTGCCATGTGCCCTCAGTGGTTGTCTCACCTCTAAGGAAGCTCTTTACAGGTCTCTTAAGGGAAGCAAAATGGTTCAGACATTCCTAGACAGAGCCAGAACTGGAAGCTCCTTTTACACTGCTAAGACTAAAAGTCTTAATTTTGTGCAACAAGTTACACAAGAGACAAAGTTCTCTGAAGTCATCCTAAAAGAGAAATACAACAGGTATGCTGCAGCAAGACACTGAACTCCAGATATCGCCTCATCTGCCACTCAAGAGCAAAAACCCAACACCTCAGCAATACATTCCTGTTAATATTGTTACAGGTCCAATACATCTAGGTTTTAGTTCCTAATACTAGAAATATTTACATCAGGATTGTACCTAAAATTGGGCACAGCTATCTTGGAGGGCTAAGTTGCTACTTCCTAGTCTTGGTTTTAAAAAGATGCTCTTCTGAGGATGTGTAGATACATACATACATAATGTGTGTGTACCTACACAAAGGCATGAAAGGACAAACAAACTGAAGAGCTAGTTAGCTCAGTCCATTTCAGAAGGCTTAAATAATGGAAAAAGGATACAGTTGAAGATAAGAACCTGCAACTGCTCCAACAGACCCTTCACAACTTTAGTGAAAGGGTAACATATAGATCTCTGAAATCAGACTTAGAATAAAATTAGCCTTATGGCTCTTTTTATAAAAAGTTGTTTCCCCTCATGCCAAAAGAAAGTAGAAATAAAAGACAATATATAAAAAAAAAGAGTATACCTTGATGTAAGCTAAATCTCCAAAGCCAATCTGACTCAGATTTTTCCAAGTTTACATAAATTAAAGCCAGAGCATCAGCAATCCTAAAAAGCAGTAATAAGTTTACTTTTCAGGTTAAACATCCAGAATTAAAATAAACCTTCACCACTAATGCATTTAAGAGGAACATGCAAGTAGTTACAGTATAAATAACCCCCCCCCCCTTTTTTTTATTGCTTAAATTGCATAGTATAAAACAAAGTGCTGGAGAGCGATGTACACGTGTATTAAAAAAGTAAAAGTGCTGGAAGGAAGTGAAAGAATCAGCAGGTACAAAGTGACTGCAATTTGAGACTGGAGCTTTTGTGTTCTGCATTCAGTGCAGTAATCATTTATTCAGAGAAAAGAGCGAAACGTCCCGGAGGCTGCGCAGGCTGGCGCTGATGTCACGCCTCTGTTTTAGATTGCATCTTCCAGTGTATTGGGTCATGTAGTTTTCAGGCACACGTCCCCTCCGGGATAAGATATCCACCATGTGGCTAAGCTTCGACCTGATAGTGGAGTAGTGGAATTGCCTCTCTTTATGCAGTTTTTGGAAATATTCTGCCCTGTGACTGCTAGAATATTCAAAGGACCGGAGAGAAGATATTGAGCCAGTAGAGCTTGTAAGAGAGCACTGGGACGATGATGAAGACAGCGATCGCAGACTAGAACTTGATACAGCCTTTCCAGACAAAGAAGATCCTTCCTTTGACAGCTTTCTGTGAAGCAGGGGTGTTTCTGTGTACTCATCTTCCTTTGTCTGTGTCACTGCAGTCTTCAGCAAAACCGAAGTCTGAGTGCCCGTCATTCTAGCGGCGACAGAAGTCTGAGTGCCAGTTTCTGCCGTTACAACGTTGGTCTGCGTGGCAGCATTACACATGGTCACTACAGGCTTCTCTTCCCACGGGCCAGTTTGAGTCGATGCACTTCTCCATTCCACTACGGCCTCTTGATCGCTGAACCACTCCTCTTCACAGAGGCAAGAACGCCCCAGGTTACAAGGTTTGCCTCCAGGAGTATCTTCAGCCAGATCCAGTTCTTTCAACAATTTCTTTGGAGTACTGGACAACCTGGCAAATTCTGCTCTCAAGTTGCCTTCCACAGTATATTCTTTAGGGGACTCTATTCTGTTTGCTAGGTGATCAAATATCCCACTGTTCCTGCAGCTGGACAGCCACTTCGGGCTGATGGGCATCGACTGGGCGTAAAGAATCCTAAACTGGAGGTCAAAATGTTCAACCACTTGACCTGACAATAGCAGCAAGTTACTGCTGTTCAGCTTCCCGTCAGACCACGTGAAACTGTTGAAAACCAACCAAGATTCACAGTTAATTTCCAGTGCTTTTCAACATGTACAGTTACAGATTGCAAGACTCAGTTTAGAGGTGCTGTGCATAAGGAAGGTATAAAGTCAAGACTATTCACACACTCCTCTTCAGGAAGAACTCTATTTAGCCATGGCCAAGTGCTTTGCTAGCCACAAGTTGTGTAAACCAGTTTTCCAAAGCTGTTTCCAGCTTTGTGTTAGTCCCATTTAGACTCAGCTAGTCCACTTGCCATTGGCATTCATTAACACTAGGCAAACAGCCAAGTTAATACATCCTTCTCACAGAAACTCCCCCTTCCTACAGCTTCATCAGGCACTAGCAGACCCCAATACTTGCCTGTAGGAGCCTGTTGTCACTCTAATGCCATCAATTAACATGAACTTCTCGTGGACTTTCCCAACAATTTTGGCACCCGACCTCATGTAGTACGTGTTCCCAGTGAGAGTTCGAACTCTCATCAGCTGTTGCAGAAAAGAAGGGAAAAAGTAACATCAGATAGAAGTTAACTGCCAAAACCTGTTGATTAGCAATTCTACCTAAAAGCAGCTATGCACACTATGGAAGATAGGAATGAAGTGAACTTCCTTACATTGTCTGCATGTGAGTGTTATTAGTTACCCGGTGCTAAATTTCCGTTAAATTAGGAGAGTCCACAGAGAGAACAGCCAGATCTAATTAATTACTGCCCACAAAGCTAGGAGTGCTTCCCTGGCCAGAGGAACATTCACTGGGGAGAACAGAAGTCTGTGCAAGCTGCAACACAGTCATGTCAGTATATATCCAGAGGAATTAAGTAAATCACTTGGGTCACACCATCCAGAGCCTTATAAAAGAAAGCAACTATGTATTAGGACAGAAATGAGATGTTACCAGAGCTATACCACGCTCAGGCTTCCTGTGTTTCTGTTTTCCTTAGCAAGCAGATCCTTCAGCCAAAGAATAAAGCTACTTAGATCTTACAAAATTAAATGCTTGAAAATTGTTGCTGCCTCAGGACAGGGATCACAGCGCACACTCCACCCAGCACACCAGGGAGTTGCACAGCAGGGCTGTAGCTCCTACGTACAGGTAGCATAGGGTAGGAGAAGTGCTTTTTCTGCATGGTTTTTGCTGAGTTTGTGAGTAGTTTCAGATGTTGGATTAGAGGTAGTACTGAAACCATGAGGTATTGAGCCTTGATCTTCAGGAGCTGAGAAACATTTCAGAAAATCCCTTTTTATATCAGTTATCAAACTGACAGGATGCTTTAGTCTTTCAAGGGTGTCTGATGTGTTATAGAAGGGTATCTCTGATATCCATAACCATAAACTCTATCACCAAAAATAAAACCAAACCACACCCACCCAGTTTAGTACTTACGCTTTCCTGCTCAGGGCAAACTCCCAAATTCTTGCACATTTCCAAGAAATGGGGTAGAAAGTCCTGGTCAAGGAGGATATAGACAGGGACTTTGCGGTTGTTATAAGCGTCCTGAAGGTCACCGAAGATATCAATATCTGTGAAGGAATCCATCACAAGGGCAATCACCTGCCAAAAAAAAAGTGACATTTGTTTAAGAGCTTTATTTTCCACAAGTCCAGATCACTACCTCCCCCAGCCATTTCTCCTGCTGCTCTCATCAAGGCCAGATGCACATTTCTTTGACCTGCTGTGCAGGCTCTGGTGAGTTATAGAAGGTTTCTATATTCCTGCAACGTTTCTGTAAATTCACTGTGCCCTGGAGTACAAAGCATAACCCTGAAGAGGTTTTTCCCTCACATCTGCTGCTGCTTTTGTACACTTTCACAGCCTGTTTTCCTACATAATCTCCTGGTATTTGGCCTTTTGGTAACAATGGGGAAGCTATTGCAGCAGAATCGGGAATGCAGAGAAGCCACCTCCACTCGCGTTCTCCCAGTGTGGCATACCTGCTGCAGATTGCCACTGCCCGCAGGAGAATTAGCTTGAATGGCCTCCTCACTGTCACAGCTGAACATCTTGGTTTCTCTTTGTGTGGTAGGAAGGGAATGGTCTCCCTATATAAGTTACCAAGAGATAAACTAGTTCTGTGACAATATACAAACTGAAATCACTATTTCCTGGCTCTTACCATCTGGTATTCTGAGTTTCCAGCCCGTACTTTCACAAGAAATCCTTCCACTCACTCAACAGTTCTTTACAGAAGGCAAGTGCTAAGATGTGAAGATTTCTCTCAGTGGGCTGAAGACAAGATGACAGTCCTACACTTATGAACGATCCCCCCAGGTAATTCAGAGCTGCATCGCACACCGTTTCAGTGCTAGAATTCCCACCCTTCAAAACCAAGAACATACATCCATGTGGGGACACAAAGGCTTAAAGGATTTGGCTTTCTGACTTACATTTCTATTCTCTTTCTCTTAGACCAGCATCAGATTATACAACTGCTGCAGGCATCTGCTCTTATCCAATAGATAAGTACCCACACCTTGCTCCGACATGCCCAAGGTGTATATGAGTGCGACACAGCTGCTCTGTGTGTGGCATTGCCTGTCCTCAGAGAAAACATTTCCCACAAGAACAGGCTAAGCTTTGTATTCCCACCAGCTCCTTAAGGGATTGGTTCCATACAGATGAGTTTTTAGGTATAACATACACAGGCATGTTGGTATTTCTAGATAAAGTTAGCTTATGCTTGTGCTTCTTATGTGTCTCCTTGTGCTTTTCTCCATCCTATCACCTGTTGAAGTGTCAAAGGAAGGTATAGAAAAATAAGATGCTTTTGCCAAGACCAGATGAATAAGAAAATAACCCCCAAAACCAGAATAATTCACACTAAACCACTTGGAAAAACACTGGTGCCTTCAAATGATTACTCAATTAGCAGCACATTTGAGTGCTAATCCCAGAATTAGCAGCTGAAAAAGAAATACACTTTTACTCAAAATGATTAAAAGTACAGTTATGTTTAGAAGAGAAAGAGAAAGCCCTTTTCTCTATACTCATCCCTTCAGGACAGCGGAGGCAAGATAGCAGCAGTGTCCCCTTTAGTCACATAAACTAACCGCATTTGAGTGAGCTGAGAAGAAACTCTACAGCATCTGAAGTTTTCCCATTCCTCACATTAACCCAAAGAACTCAGACATGATTGAGCAACATCACACAGTATCTGATATTCAGTAAATTATAGGGGGTCAGGATTTCTCTCCATTCTGTGTCCACAAAAACACTCCCCGGATCAGGCACGTACACGGCAGCGGCAGGAACAGCTTGCCTGGCTCTTGGCTCGCTGCGAGGGAAGGCGTTTGGCAGGATGCTAAAAGCAAAACGTTACGAACAAGTACAGCTTTTTGGAGGAACAGATGTTTTAATGGAGTTTACCCAAGTCACCAGACTGTGCTCATCTACCCAGTAAGGATCC